TCACAATCCATCCATCCATCCATTGTGTCAAGCACATTTGTACATTTGTTGCCACCATCATTCTCAAAAGGTTTTATGTATAATAGATGTGTTGATTTACTTCTGTGTTAGTCGGGTTGACTCCAGAAGCAAATCCAGAGACACTCATAGGTGTAAGAGAGAACTTTATATCAAGAAGTAATAATCCATCAACAAAAGATCCCATCCCAGACCAGACCAAGTCCCTAAGTTGAATATTAGCCTGTAAGTTCAATATTAGCCCATGAATTCCTCTTCAGAGTCACACAGAACTTGCAGTGATGCCGAAGGCAGGAAGATCACACAGGCGAGTGGGTGGAAAGTCTTGTGGACCCAGTGGTTGTACATCTCCAGGGCTCTGGTTCCCATCAGCGGGGCTCCATGTGGCTTGTCATCAGGAACCTGTGGCAGAGAGAGAGTGTCCTGCCTCCAGGGAGGAAGAGAAGTCCCAGAAGCCTCATGAGACGGCCACACCCACAAAAAGGGATCACCACGCTGTGACCTGATTGACATGCTAGATTCCACCCCTTCATTCTTCTTTATCAAGTTGACATGAAATTGTGTACCTACCACAGCTTCATACAAGGAGCACTATTCATCTCCACCACCAGATATGGGTTCTCAGCGGTCATCGTGCACCAGGCTTTGAAGACCCTTCAGAACTACAGCTGTCTAGACCCCAGCAACTGCCCATTGTTAATGTGGTGTGGGTTCCAGATGATGTGATTTGAAAGATCTCTTTGATGATTCTAACTCTAATGAACAGTTAGGCCTGGGGAAACCTGGGATTGACACAAGGAGTCCAATCTCCTCCCCACCTGCCCCCGTGTCAAAAACCCACTGCCATTGAGTTCATTCCAACTCCTGGGATCCTATGTTGGATTTTTGAGCCTGTTAATTTTTACAGGAACGGAAAGCCTCATATTTCTCTCATGGTGGCTGTTGGGTTTGAACCGCTGGCCTTATGGTTCATTAGCAGAGATCCTTTCTGATACCTTTCAGATGATAAATAATCTCCTAGGCTCAAAAATGATCATTCTCCTTTGGAAGCTCTGTCCCTCCCCAAGCCTCCCCGGTTCCCCCAAGGAAGCAAGGCTGAGCCCCAACTGAACTTAGCAAGGGTTATGGGGACTGTAAGCACCACTGCTGAAAACATTTGTTTTCCCAAAGCCGACTTAACGGTTGGTGGATGATCACATCTCAGCGGTTGTGACAGGCAATGGGGGGCGGGCGATTACCCACCTCTGGTGTGTTGGGAGGATGAGGGAAAGCAAGAGGCAAGAGGCAAAAGGGGGACGTCCTTACTGGCATAGAGTGGAGGGAAAAGGTGCTTCGTGTACTTTTGCCGACAATACTTTAGCAACTTCTTTCTGCAGAGATTCCATTAAGGAAAATGTAGAGCTGATTCGACTTAAGAAACTCTTACATGAACGGAATGCCTCCCTGGTAGTGACAAAAACACAATTAACAGAAGTTCAGGAGGTGAGTTGCCCTCAACTGCTGTCCTTTCTTGCAGTGGTGATGGGTGGGGGGGCCGTTCGTTAAGAGATTAGTATTATTTGGTTCATTTCACAACTGGGGGACCATAATTCAGAGACACTAAGTTACTTTTCCCTGATGGCATAGTGGGTTCTGTGCTGGCCTGTAACTGAAAAGTTAGTAGTTCGAAACCATCAGTCACTCTGAGGGAGAAATATGAGGCTTTCTGCTCTCGTAAGTAGGTCGGATATGGGTTGAAATGGACCCGATGGCAGCAGGTCAATTACTAGTCCAAGCAAGGTCACACACGTTTTAGGAAATACTCAAACCCAAGCCTTGCAACTCGGCCTCTGTTATTTCTGATGGTTTCTCTGCTAGGAAGAAGGCTGAGCTGGCCACTCCAGTGAGCTGACGTGGCATGGCCCCCGCCAATGTCCACAATTAAACAGGGAGGCCCAGAGCAGTGACAAAGGAGAGGAAGAAGCCTATCGTTTACTGAGCACTGTGCTAAGGAGCCCTGGTGGCTTAGGCTTCAGGCTGCTAACCAAAAAGCCAGTAGTTCAAAACCACCAGCTACTGCTCCTGGTAAGATTTACAGACTAAGGAGCAATTTACTCAGTCCTCCAGGGTCTCTCTGAGTTGGAAGCTCCTGGATGGCGGTGTTCTGGTTGGTTTTGCGGGGGTTTCTATGTGCCGGACCCTGTCCCAGATGTTTCACATCCATACTCTCGCTTTATTCAG